TATATATATATATATATATATATATATATATATATATATATATATATATATATATTTAAATATATTTATATGTTCGTTTTCTTTTTTTTTAATATATTTATATACTGTTACCCAGTCATGCGTTGCTGTAGCAACTATTACATAACCTACATAAGGCAACTATTACACAACCTATACAGATAACCTATAAACCTGCATAACCTACATGCTACATACATCAGCTATTATACACATAAATAGCCTACGAACATACACACACATACAGACGCACACGTACGCAATACATAAACACACATGCACACATGTAATATATAAACACATACACAGACACACACGTACATACATAAACACACGTACATGCATATATACATATATATATATATATATATATACACACATACATACGTGCACACATACAAACACGCTGCAATGCATTGATTTCTGTTGTCACACGACTGTGTCCTGTAGGTAAGAACAGCTGTGTGTGTCTTATTTCGTACGTGTCTCTACGGTTTACACATGTAAATGTGATATACCTGTAGATGTGGGTAGATGTGATGTAAATTTAAACGTTTAAGCATTACGTATAGATAAGGTGATATGCGGTGTACTTGCGCGATTGCGAATACACGTGCGAAAATGATACGTTTAAATTTAAAGGTGTAAGCGTAATTTATAAAAGAGAAATTCGAATTGTTATGAACAAAAGACAGAATATTCTATTGAATGGTATACGCGGGTTGTGAACTTTGAACTTTGGAACGGTAGTGTACAGAGTAACTTACTCATAAATCACGAACACCTAATTTTAATAATATCAAGGTTGATTGCTACTTCTCAGAAGAGTGTGTACTATGATAAAAGTAATTTATTTTTCAGGATATATTTCCAATTAAGAAGTTTCTAGCAAGTTTATTGAGTAATAAAAATTTCCCCTGTCCTCTTAAAAAGAGCTGAGTTCAATCGCCATATGTAGTATTGAAGCTCTGCCAGGATCATCATGGAAGTTAGCTGGTTCTTGGCATGCTCCACGCTGCAGATGGCGAAAATACTGAAATCTCTTTGAGAGAATAAAGCTATAGACTGCACTGAAATTGATTTGTACAGTGAGCAGCTCACCAGTAGAAAGATTTATTTGTGAATATAATAACTGTTTTGGACAGTTTGGGTATGATTCAGGCAATTGAATTATGTGACAGTAGCAACAATTCGAGGGTGAACTGGGTCGGAAAACATTGCTGTGCGTAAATAGTGTGTCTGGCCGCTAGGTTTTAGAACTTATATAGAAGGAGTTTACATACAACAATCTGTACAAATCAAACAACAAAAGGTCCTTTAGAATGTGCCGACAGTGACCTGAGATCCTTTAGATTGCACTTACACTGACTTCTTCTTTGTCCCGTTCTAGTGCAGAGTCCGCTTTTCTGGTTCGTCGTCACCATTTTGCTTGATCATGCGCTTGATCGGAATATACGCCAGCAGCCTTCATATCATTGTGTGGCCAATCAGGCTCTGGTACTGATGCTCTGATGCCCTTGCATCATGACATTGACCTCAAATTTAGTAATCAACATAAATTGATCTACAACATCTTACAATGAGTTTGAACTAGACATATTTAAGTGTCGACAGTATTCAAATTAAAACGTATAAGGTCTTTGTGATGATCCTGGTGAAGCTTACCAGGGCTCTTCCTCTTTATCTATCTATCTATCTAATATATATATATATATATATATATATATATATATATATATATATATATATATATA